TTATTTTGTGCAATTTTTTTTGACACAAATTATTTTTCCATGTTTCAACGTAAAACACCATAATATTTTTATTTATATTATATATTGCATGCTAATAAGGTAAGTTAGTTTCACGATAAAACAATTGTTGGTAACAAAATTTTGAGAAAAGAAAGCCTAATAAAATAATAGGTTCATTGACATTTAATTGCATTGAAAACAATAAAATGAAAAATTTATTGTTAATCATAAGTCAAACCCTCACCCACGTTACAATCTATGAGGTTATTTTAGGAACACAAGAATTATAAAAACTGACATACCAAGCTTGTTAAGGAAATTTGCTTAGTTGGACTCTAGTAAAGGGGGTTTAAGTCTGAAAAAATAAAGAGGATGGGTTTTAAGTGAGAGAAAATATGTTTCATGGGGGAAACTCTCATTTTCAGTAAATTAAATATGTCTTCTAGATTAATTTGGTGCGCTGTATACAAATATAATTACTGATAGGGAAGTGTGATTAACACTAGAAATCTCATTCTACACTCACAAGTGTATTTTTCTTTCTAAATATAGAAAGTTTGGAGTGTAGAATGAGAATTTTGGAATGTCAATAACAATTCCCTGATTAAGATAAACATTCAAATTAAATGACAAATGGTGGGTTTGAAACACCAAGTTGCTATAACATATATATATTATTAGATAGTTACAATATAACAACAGCAATAACATTAAAAAAAGCAACAATTATTTATTATTATCAACATTCCTCTCCACTTGGTTTTTTTATTTTTATTTCCTCGGGATATTAATTTGTGTGCATCTGTTAATTATATGGAACGATGATTAAGACTAAATGTTATTGACTTATATTGCAGTGGGTGGTTTGTTTTCACGTTGAATATGTCATCAGTGCCAAAGAGCTATATATGAGTAGAAAACAAGGCATCAATATGAACTTTATCTTTCCATACAAACTTGTGCTGAGCTAACAGCCTTTGTTGAATTTTGCTGGGGACGAAAAAAAAGAAAACTGTAATTGGCACTTTAACAATTAGATGTTAAATTTGTCACAAATATATATCGTTCTCGTCATGCATGCGAGTCAAATTTAATATTCTATCAACTAACTAAGCGGAGACAAATATCATGAGTTTGTAGTGCGTATGAAAACCTAGCTGCTATTTTATGAAGAAAAAACAAAAAGCTTCAATTGTCAACTCTCACTTTATTTAACCATGAAAACTAATCCCAGATACATCACAAGAGATTATTATTATTAGGGTAAAACTGTTAATGGAGACATTCATTTTATAGAATTTGAGATTGGAAAGGAAAAGTATGAACGCAAAAGAGGGGAGAATAGGTGAGAATAATTTGTGATTGATTTTCTTGATTATTTGCATTATCACAGATTGTATATATATACATATTACATTAGTTGACTTTGTAAAGCCATAGAAGGCAAGTATTAGAATACAATACAACAGTAAAGACAGAGACTGAGTGAATCGTGCAATGCAGCAAATCACGTTCTAATGGCAGATTTGTCTGCTTGATTTGCTGGACTTGTAGTAATCTCTTTATCCCCCCCCCCCTAAGTGAAACTGAACAAAGTGAAGTTGAGCTTGGAAATAAGGAAGGAGAATCGTTCACGAGATAGTTCTTTGGTGAAGACATCGGCAATTTGATGTTGTGAAGGAATATGCCGAGCGGCAAGGACCCCCTAAGCAATTAACTCACGAACAAAATGGTCAATTTCTATGTACCGTGTGCAAGCATGGAAGACTAGATTTGCAGCCATGTGAAGAGCGGAGACATTATCGACGTAAATGCATGGTGGAGTGTAAAGAGGAAGACCAATCTCATGAAACAAATAGCTGAACCACTGTAGTTCAGCTGTTGGGGTGGCAAGAGCGCGATATTCAGCTTCAAAGCTTGAGCGAGACACTGTGGATTTCTTTTTAGCAGTCCAAGTCAGAAGGTTCGGGCCAAGGAAAATGCACGCACCACTAGTGGATCGACGATCATCAACAGAACCAACCCAATCAACATCAGAAAATCCACGAAGAGATAAGTCCGTTGAGGAACCGAAGAGGAGACCATGCACAACGGTGCCCTTGATATAGTAATAAATGCGCTTGACTGCTTGAAGATGAGTGGTTTTCGGATTATGCATGTATTGACAAACTTGATTGACAACATAGGTAATGTCGGGGCGTGAGAGAGTAAGATATTTAAGCCCACCAACCATACTATGATATGTCTCTGGGTTAGAAAGTGGATCACCATCATGTGCAGATAAGCGTGTGGATGAGAGGAATGGAGTGGGACTTGGCTTGCAAAGATCCATCTTAAATTTCTTTAACAAATTAGAAGCATAACAAGATTGAGAGAGAGATAGGTGACTGCCATTGCGGATGACCTCCATGCCAAGAAAATAATTCAGATCCCCTAACTTCCGACTAGCAAAGGTGGCACATAATGCATCAATGAATTGATGAACAGTAGCATAATTAGAACTTGTAACAATCAGATCGTCAACATATACAAGCACATATAGAGAATATGTGGAAGAGTGATAAATAAACAAAGATGCATCTGATCGGCTGTGGAAGAACCCTTGGTTATGCAAAAAGGAGTTTAAGCGTTGAAACCATGCACGTGGAGTTGTTTAAGACCATAGAGTGCCTTGTGAAGACGACCAACATGCTTAGGGTGTTGGGAATCGACAAAACTAGGTGGTTGTTTCATATAGACCTCTTCAAGCAAGATTCCATTCAAGAAGGCATTACGAATATCGAGTTGCTGTAAAGTTCAATTTTTGCAAATAGCCAAGGTAAGGATCGTACGAATAGTCCCTGGTTGGACAACGGGACTAAAAGTTTCTTCGTAATCAAGACCTGCTTGTTGGTTGTAACCCTTGGCGACAAGACGTGCTTTGTGTAGATCAATAGAACCATCTGCTTTGTGTTTCATCTGAAAGACCCATTTGCATCCAACAATATTCATATAAGTAATAGCGAGAACAAGAGACCATGTTGGTTTTGACAAAAGGGCTTCATACTCTTCTGTCATAGCTTTCTGCCAATGAAGATACTTGGCTGCTTGAGTGTGGCTAGATGGTTCGAATGACATTGGATCATTAAGGGCATCAGTTAATGCTTGTGGAAGAGGATGTGGCGTCGAGCCATAGATTATATTGTTGACACTTTTAAACTTTTGATGGTCAGGAGAGTGTGCCTGATCAAGCACATCATCATCATTGGTTGGCGTGAGCGCCGTGGATGGGGGATGGCTTATCGGTGGACATATGGGTCCGTGGGTTCGGAGAAACACCATCATAATGATCTGGCAATAGAGAAGTGGGTGCCAAGCCAAGGGCTGTGGATGAGGCATCTAGGTCCGTGGCCTCATGGTGGGAAGAAAAAGTTGTAGCTTGTGGGGGCTGCTGTGCTTGGTTGTGGGGAGCAAGACTAGGCATAGTAGTGAGGTCCATAACAAATTGTTGTTGCGACGGCATGCTAGGAGAAGCTGCAGCTTTGATGGCCTGATATGGAAAAATGGATTCATCAAATTGAACATGCCGGGAAATATAAACCTTACAGAGGTAATGTCTAAACACCAATAGCCCTTGTAATTGTTATCGTAGCCAATAAAAACACATTTGATGGATTTTGGCATTAACTTATGAGAATTGTAGGGAACGATATGAGGAAACCATGTGCAATCAAATGTCTGCAAGAATCGATAATCTGGTGTCCTGTCAAATAACTTTTCATAAGGTGAGACATCCCCAATATTGTGCAGAAGTAACCGATTAATTAGAAAGGCAGCCGTGGTGAAAGCTTCCACACAAAATGAGGACGGAAGATGGGATTGGGCAAGTAAACAAAGACCCATTTCAACAATATGACGATGCTTTCTTTCAACGATGCCATTTTGTTGGGGAGTATAGGGACAAGAAAGTTGTTGAGTAATGTCATGTTGACGTAGAAAAGTGTGGAAAACATTACTAGTGAATTCACCACCACCATCAGTTTGCACAATTTTAATTGTTCGTGTCAACCGATTTTCAACAATTCTTTTAAATGTAACGAAGGTAGACATAACATTAGATTTTCTTGCAAGGGGAAAGAACCACACAAATCTGGAGCATTCATCCACTATTGATAAATTAAATTTGTAGCCAAAATTAGAGAGAGTTGGAGCAGGTCCCCATACATCAAGATGCAAAAGATCAAGTAGATGTTGAGCTATAGATGTGCGAGAATTGAAAGGTAATCGACATTATTTGCCTAATGGACAAATGTGACATTTATTATTGGAGGATCCACCACTAATAGGTAAGTGGTATTTATTGGCAAGAACTTGAAAATTAACGGTTGATGGATGTCCATGACGAGCGTGCCACACATCACGAGTCGTTCGTTTTCCATAGAAAATAAGCTTTGGTCTGATTTGTGAAGCAGCTCGAATGTAATAAAAATCACCATAGTTATGCCCAATAAGAAGTACCTGGCCCGTTGTCTTGTCCTTCACACGAAAAGTACGATCATCCATCTCAAAGAAACAATGATTATCATAGCAAAATCGACGAAGCGATAGTAAGTTCTTTTTAATGGCAGGAACATATAACACATCATCCAGTATGAGGGAGCCATGTAAACCAGTTACAGAGGATTTACCAACATGAGAGATACGTAATTGATTACCGTTGCCAACAATAATAGAATCGGTACCTTCGTAAGGTTGAATCTGTGTGAGGGTGGAAGGATCATTGGTCATGTGATTTGTTGCACCAGAATCAGCAATCCAAGGTGTTGGTGACGGAGAACGGGCAATAGCAATATATGCAAAGTTTCCACGTGTCTTAAATTGTTTGGCTTTGTGACCATATTCCTCGCATAGTTGGCAAGGTTTGTCAGTCTCAAAAGTGGGTGGCTTGGGTGGCAGCGATGGCGAAGGAAGAAGAGGAGGTCGATGGTCATTAGATGGACCACGGTTGAGTCGAGGAGCATTCAAATTGGTCTAGCGGTGGGAATTAGAAGAACGCCAACCACCACCAGGACGATGCAATCACAACCTTGTCCGTGGTTAAAAGAACGATTGGAGAAGGAGAACCGATTTCCATTGGAGATGGATTTGGACGGGCCATTAGAGCGATGATGAGCGGTGAAGGCAACACCGTTGGACAAGGAAAAATATGACATCTTTTTTATGAGATTTTCTTCCTCAATGAGCAGGTCGTAAAAATCATCATATAAGAGAGAAGGGCGAAGATGAACAGCGGTGGTAAACTCCTTGTATTCAGGACCAAGGCCATCTAAAAGGCATTCAATGAGGTCATCTTCACTGATACTGGAACCAGCAGTATTAAGAGAATCTGCAAGGCTTTTGCCATGCATTAGATAGTCAGACATGGGCTTCTCCGAATCTTTCTTAAGAGTGCGAAGTTGGTCACGAAGAGTGAGGATGTGAGTCTTGGAGAGAGGTGACAGACGTTTTTCCAAGAAAGTCCAAGAATTATAAGCATAGGTGCAAGGGATTAGAATAGTTCGTATAGAGGATATGTAGGTAGCCTTGATCCAACTGAGAATGAGTTTGTCCCTAGAATAATGGGGATTGACAGAGCCATCATCGAGCTTCTTCGGTGGTTTAGAATTGATAGTCATGACATCTTCCATGCCATGAATTTCAAGAATATCCTGAAATTGAGATCGCCAACTAAGATAATTGTTGCGGTCCATGGGAGTGTTGATCGTATGAGAGATATTGAAGATGGTGGGAAGGGAGATGGTAGGGGTAGTCATGGTAGAGGAAGATGAATAAGAGGAGGTAGAGGAGATTGGGGTAGCATAAGCCATAGAGGATCGAATAAAGCGTTAGCTTGTGAGAAGGCTGATACCATATAAAATTTGAGATTGGAAAGGAAAAGTATGAATGCAAAAGAGCAGAGAATAGGTGAGAATAATTTGAGATTGATTTTCTTGATTATTTGCATTATCACAGATTGTATATATATACATATTACATCAATTGACTTTGTAAAGCCATAGAAGGCAAGTATTAGAATACAATACAACAGCAAAAGACAGAGACTGAGCGAATCATGCAGTGCAGCAAATCACGTCCTAATGGCAGATTTGTCTGCTTGATTTGCTGGACCTGTAGTAATATCTTTACATTTCTCACAACAGTCAAATGCACCAACTACTAGGGGTGGGCACTTAAAACCGAAAACCGAAACCGAAACACGAACCAAATCGAACCGCACCGAACGGTTTGGTTTTGCGGTTTTGAAACGGTTTCGGTTTTGAAACCGAACCGCAACATAGAAAACGGTTTGGTTTCGGTTTTGGCTTTTGAAAACCGCACCGAAACCGAACCGCACCGCAAATATTAATAAACATTTAATTAAATATCCATATTAGATTTCATGTTTTAATTGGTCGTTTGTTAAAATTCATACACTTAGTATGGACTCAACCACACTAGAATATCATCATTCATCACTTTCTTTTGTTCATTAACTTGAAGGACCTTTGTTATTTTATACCATCACACACACATATATGTACAAGGGTGGACTAATCTTGTTATCAAGAGTCGAACAATGATTTACTAAAAGCCACTCATTTGAAGCATGATATCACATATTCTAGTATGAAAATTTCGCTCACGTTTAATGAATTTAAATTTATTCAACTTGTTTTATGAAAAATATTGTAAGGGACACCTTTTTGTTGCACAAACATGTTTTAACATCACAACTACATGCAACATGCTAATTGTTTACATAACAAATGTCATTTTCCTATTACTATTGGGAAATGCTTTTTAATATGTTAAATTGCAAATTGTACATTTTTTCTTAAAAACCAAACCGAAACCGTTTGAAACCGCACCGAACCGAACCAAACGGTTTGGTTTCATTTTGGTTTTGGCTTCAAAACCGCACCGAACCAAACCGCAAAAACTTGCGGTTTTGGTTTTGGTTTCACTCAAAACCGCACCAAACCGAACCGCACCCACCCCTACCAACTACTACCGGACATAGCTATCCCTCATCCTATACACATATGTATACATATTTGCGTGTGTGTGTGTGTGTATATAGCTGTCAGCTTTTCGGTCCAACACCGCGTAGTTTGCACTTTCTCCTCCCTCAGTCTTCAGTTTTTTGATTTGAAAGTTTGAAGTTGAATAGCAAAGAGGAAACTTTTCCAGTACAACCCTAGATCACTCTTGACTTCTCATCTGAACATATTCCAAATTCTTCGAGTTGGCTTTTCTCTCTTTAGCTAGCTAATTCATTTCACAACAGCAGAAGCGAAAAGCAAAAAACCAGAAGCCAGAAGTCCTCTCGATTAAGCTTCTCATCTCACCTGCAGGAACTCATAGTTTCACTAATCCAATGCAAAAACAAAAGGTACGTGTACATGTATATTTATAAATCTCGTGTTTAAGGAAAAAATCCAATTTTCATGCACTCAAAACTTGGCCTACAACTTCTTCATTCTTTTCTTCTCTCATGGATTGATTTCTGAACCAAATCCTGGTAAGAATTCCTTGACAGTTTAGTTATATACATATTTCTATCTGCAATTCATACCCTTTATTTAGGATATAACTCGAAAAAATTCAATTATAATCCGGTCTATTCATGCTGGCTGCAGCTAATACGGACGTAGGGAAAATTCCTTTATTTTTGCATTTATTAGCTGTTCAGTCTAGGTGCTTCTATTGATGACTGCCGATGCTCTCATGTTTCTCGAGCATGCTGCTCTGAACGGATTGACGATATGTCATTGATAACATGTTAATATCATTGTTGCTAAATAAAAAATGTATCGACATGTTATTAGTACTGATCACTAAATTTTCTACAATACCAGTACAATATCGATAGTAAGCTGGTGTTAAGCTAGCTGCCTACTAAATCAAACTTCCAATTCATCCCAAAAAAATGAAGAAATACAACGTTTCAGTCCTTTCCCAACATTTGCTTCTGCTGAAGATCCTGCTGTTACTAGGAATGGCTGTCGGAGATCCAAGAACGAAGATGGTACAAATAATGTGCGGCAATCAACGTGAGCACAACACAACCATGTTTGTTCCGAATTTGTCAGCACGATGGATAACATCAGTGAACAAATGCAAACTTCCAGCTTCAGAGTGGCAGTCACTGGTTCAGGCCCGGACACCAACTACGGCCTAGCTCAATGTTATGGAGACCTTTCTCTTCTAGACTCTGTGCTATGCTACAACGAGGCATATACAGTGTTTCCCCAATGTTTTCCTTACAATGAGGGTCGGATTTTTCTCGACGGTTGCTTCATGAGGTCCGAAAACTATAGCTTTTACGAGGAGTTTAGAGGATCGGAAGACAGGGTTGAGTGTGGGAACACCACGAGGAAGAGTTCGGCGTTTGGAGAAGCGGCAAGGCAGGTTGTGAAGCATGCAGTTGAGTCTGCGCCAAGCAACTGAGGATATGCAAGGGGTGAGGTGAGTGTGATTGGGGCAGCAAACGAGTCAGCTTATGTGTTGGCCGATTGCTGGAGAACTTTGGATGAGAGCTAGTGTTTGGAAAATGCATCTGCATCAATGTTGGGATGCTTGCCTTGGTCCGAGGGGCGAGCGTTGTATACCGGGTGTTTCATGAGGTATTCAGACAAAGATTTTCTTAACAAGGAAATGGGAAATGGAAGCTCCAGAGGTTGCCTTTAATCACTTTAAGCGAGGGGAGGATATCTTAAATTTCAGGTAGACGGGTCATGGGCCCATTCCAACAACACCGATATTGTCCCCACTTGGCCACCTACTCAATCTGTCAGGTGTGGGGTTTTAATACAAAAGGTATCGGTGTTAGTTAGAGTGGGGTAATTCTATTTAAAGGGCTTGTTCTCAAGTCTTCTGGCCCATGTGGGACAGAGATATTCTAACACTCCCCCGTACGTGAGACCCTATTTTATGGGTCACATGTGAAGTTCCACACATCAGCAACCACGTGGAGCCAGGGCTCACCCGTTCGCGCGGGGCCAATGGGGACCCACCCATTCACGCGGCATCTCTTGGCCTACGTGGAGCCAAGTCAGGGCTCACCCGTTCATGTGGCAATACGGGCCAGTCTCCTAGCTCTGTTACCATCTTTAATTTCAGGTAGACGAACCATGGGCCCACTCCAACAACACCAATATTGTCCCCACTTGGCCACCTTCTTAATTCGTCAAGTGTGGAGTTTTAATACAAAAGGTTTCGGTGTTAGTTAGAATACGGTAATTTTATTTAAAGAGCTTGTTCTCAAGTCTTCTAGCCATGTGGGACATATATATTCTAACAGGATAGGCTGCTTCGGTGGTTCGAGAGACATCATGTGTATAATTTTGCTCACCTAATCTTCGGAACTTTGTTGCAGGTACCACGATTGTCATAGTCGTTTCAGTTGTCAGCTCCTTGGTAGTTTTGGTAGTTGGAGTAGCCATTGGATTTTATATATGGAAGCACAGATATATACAAAAGAAAAGAAGAGGTAAAAAGCTAGTAGAAATTCTGCAATGCTATCAGATTGTATTGCTTCAATGGTGAAATTAAAAGATCATCTGTGATGGACAAAATGGTATATTAAACATAAGAGATTACCGGACTGCTAAAGAATTTCGGGGTTTTGCAGGATCATATGATGCGAAGAAACGGGCGAAAACCCTAAACGACAGTAACTTAAACTTCAAGTACTCAACAATCGAAAAGGTCACGGGGTGTTTTGACATTGTCAACAAGCTTGGACAAGGAGGTTTCGGAACTGTTTATAAGGTAGTTTGTCTCCATGTCTTTTGTTTGTCTTAAATATCTGATGCCTCCGTACTCAGAAACTAACCGGGTTTTCTCCTTGCAGGGAGTTCTGGCCGATGGGAAGGAGATTGCAGTGAAGAGGCTTTTCTTCAACACCAGACACAGAGCAGCAGATTTCTACAATGAAATCAACATTATAAGCAGAGTGGAACACAAAAACTTGGTCAGGTTGTTGGGCTGCAGTTGCTCGGGACCTGAAAGCCTTCTTGTCTATGAATACCTACCGAACAGTGTAAAGATGTATTAGGTGTTTCAGATATTAACAAGTGTACGTAGATTAGGTTGCTAGGTAGTTAAAGTTTGTTAACTTACTTAGTGACTAAGATAGCCTTATCTATATATATGTGTAGATATTGTAACACATTTCATTCATTCAATACATACAAGATACAATTCATTTCTCTCTCTAAGATTGGTATTCTCTCAAATCTCTCTTTCTCTCTCAAGAATACATATGGTGAACAAGAACTTCTTTGCTATTCTGACATGGTATCCTCGCCGGTGATGACGACTTCTCGATCCTGATCTGCTTTGTTTGCTTCCGCATTCCTGATCTCTTTGTTCTGGTGTGCATTTCTGCTCTTGATTTTCCTCTCTCTATAGCTCTGTGAGGTTGCGTATCTGCGCAGTTGCTTTCTTGCCGTCTATGTCTCATTGTGCACGCCAAGTGTTTGATTAATTGCTTCTTCCACGATCTGTTTGCATTGATATCAAATTTCACGATATCTCCACGATTGCATTCTTTGTGATCTTTTTGTCCGATTCTTCTCTCTGAAACCATAGTTTTGTGCTCGTTTTCACGAATTCTCCAATTCTTGCAATTATGGTGACTGCTGCATAATTACAGATTGTACAGTCTCCAATCACCAATCTCATTTCGAATGTCTCTAATTCTGTT